TACAAACTAAACTAGTAATTAAATTTTTAAGATTCTATGGTCCCGGAATTATTTCGTCGGGGTTTGTAACCGTTAGATCAATTATCCACGACGGTTTTATGATAATCTAACAGTTATAAATTTCGACGGAATGATTCTGTAACGGGACTGTAGTATTTCTCATTAAATTCAAGCCATACTCTAGCTTAATATGCATGTAACAACCATTCAATTTTTGAAAATGTCACACTGATATACATGCAAATTTTGCTGGAACATAATCTAATTAGACCGATTCATATCGTGTCCTGTAAATAATTTTTGTATATTTATTTTATTAAATATTATATTTACATTTGTTATTTACATACTTTTTAATTATCATTCATTTACATTCACTTTTTATTTGGCAATTTTAAATATCACATCAATTTTGATCATTTCACTTTATTATTTTCACATATCATTCGAAAGGCCAGGCGCGCAGCTTACGATTTCTTTGTATTTATTTAATTTTTTTTTTTTTCCAGTACACTGCCACTGAAAATACCATACACTATATTACAATTTTTATACAGCTGTTGCATTAGTTAATAAAGTTAGCAATCACTCATCATGCCTATTATATTATTCGAAGATGTTAGGTCTCGTAACGGAACAATTTCATTAAAATTTGTAACATTTAGATTAATTATTACCGACAGAATGGTTCGGCAACGGGAGCTCAACTATTCTCTATATAAATTACTACTATTATACAGCGACGTTACTTTTTTTTTTTTTTTTTACTTTGGTCCCAAGAAATTACAAAATATTATCTTGTCTAGCAGATTACTTGATAAACTCAAACTCATACCATTCAAGCCTTTAGTCAAGTAGCTGCTTTAAAAAACGTAATATCTAAATAGATGTACATCAGTAATATCTAAAAAACGTAATATCTAAGTTGGAAGAAACTTAGAACTTAGATTCACTCAACTTTAATTATTTTATTTTAAATATTATGTTAATATAAATTTCTATTTTTTTCAAATTTATTTTATTTAATAAAAGAAAATCAGTTTGAGCAGATATATTTATGTCGAAACATCAGTAATGTTCACCTATCCACGGTAGACACATGTTAATATGTCATCGCTTATGTGGCATGCATTCATTGATGATGTATTTTTTTGAATATATTAACATCACCAGTGTGGGTATGCTACATAAGCGGTGGACATATTAACATGTGCCCGTCGTGGATAGGAGAACATTATCCGTCAAATCATGCCCTAAAAAAAAAAAACAAAGAACAAAAGTTAAGACCACATCAACTCCTTTCTACTACTAAATTACAAGTCCTTGTCACACTCATTACTATTATTGATGAGTAATGGTATACATAACATTGTACACAATGTTGTACATAATATTCACATTGAGTAAGACCAATCAAAAATAAAAAATCAAGTGAATCTCGCTTCATGTGAGTGTTATGTACATCTCTATATACATTTATTATGTAGTTCTAGCATTTTTCATTATTTATTTTTACCTTTACCTTTAAGTGGAGAGATTTTTGAAGAGTAGCACTAGTTTGAGATTTTGACCGAAATTTTGAGATTTTTTTGAGATTCGACACCTTCTTAAGATTATCAAATTTCGAAGGACTAATAAAATCTTAAGCTTAGATGTAAATTTTGGAATAAGATTTGGTATTTTTTATTTTTTTTTTATTATTTTGAAATCCTAACATATCTTAAAAAGCTTTAACAAATAATCATAGTCTCAAATAAATAAATTAAATACTTTAAGATTTTGGAAGATTTTTTAAAATGTCAAATGAATATCACTTGATTTTTAAAAATCCCGCAAATGTCAAATGAATATCACTTAGATTATTTTGATAAAATTATTTTAAAATATCATTTAATAGTTTTTCATTAAAAATAACTATTTCATTATTGTAATTTCTACCAAATGCATCACAAAATAACTAAATCGTGTAATTATCATTTTTTTTTACTTTCCAACATTAATAATAATTAATTTTCTGAGTTGGAGGTAGTGCTGTAAATGAATCGAACCGAGCTTGAGTTGTTCGAGCTCGTGTTCGTTTACATTCGAACATTGTTCGTATTCATTCGTTTATTTTTCGAGCAAAAAATCATGTTCGAGTTCGTTCGTTTAATCGAGTTCGTTCGTGTTCGAATAATTTAATACATGAACTTTTCAAAATATATTTGATTAACTCGAAATTTGAACTCGAAAAATAAAAGAATAAAAATAACAATATTTTTATATTTTATATTTTTTTATTAAAATTACTATGCAAATATATAAAAAATAAATTAAATTATATTAATTTTTAGATTTTTTATTAAAAATATTATATAATATATAAAAAAAATAAAATAAATTAATATTAAATTAATTTTTGCGAACATAATCTAACGTTCACGAACGAGCTCGTATTCGTTTGACTATTAAACGAGCCTAATTTTCTATTCGAATTCGGCTCAATCAATAAACGAACGAGAGCTTTTGTTCGCGAATATACGGTTCATTTACCACTCTAGTTGGAGGCCGCGCGTGTGGAAATAGTTTTCGTTAGGTAAGCGTTACACCTGATTTGGGCTTTGTGTTAATTTATCTGTGCTTTTCAAAATAATAAATAATAGTAATAATTATTATTTTAATTTATTTTATTTAAACTTTATTTTATTTTATTTTATTTGTATGGATAAAGCCCCGGGAGCCTTCTTCTCTCCTCCCTAGAACCTCGTGCGAAGCCTCCCTCCATTGTTTATTTTTCAACCTTTTATAAATCCCACCTCCATCACTCCCTCTTTTTCCACTCAACAAACCCAAAATCAAGTCGAAAAATTCAAACTAAGACCCCTCAAATTTATCAAAATTTCAAAAATGGCCTCTCCGGACGAGTCCTCAGCCCTCGAGATCATACGACAGCACCTCCTCGACGACTACGCCTTCGCCGAGAACTACTGTCCCTCGGCTTCCTTCTCCTCCGACTCTCAAATCTCCAGAACCTCCAGCACCGCCTCCGAAATCACCTCCTCGATCGACCCCTCCAATCCCCTTTATTTCACTTTCGCCCCGATAAACCACGGAAACTGCAATCCGGCCCCAATTCTGGATTTCTCGGCCTTTTCCGGCCCGAAGGTCGAGCCCGACGCCTTCCTCGAGTTCCAGCCGAGCCCGCCGGCTGCCAAGAAGGCCGATAGGAAGCCGTCTCTCAACATCGCGATTCCTAAATCGAACAGCGGCGCCGGCGCGCCGGCGGCGGCGGAGAGGCACTACAGGGGCGTGAGGCAGCGGCCGTGGGGGAAATTCGCGGCGGAGATACGGGACCCAAACCGGAAGGGGACGCGGGTGTGGCTGGGGACGTTTGACACGGCGGTGGAGGCGGCGAGGGCCTACGACAGGGCGGCGTTCAGGCTGAGGGGGAGCAAGGCCATACTCAACTTCCCGCTCGAGATCGGGACCACCAACCGCCCGACGGAGGGGGACGCGGCGGCGGTCGGATGCCGGAAGAGGAGTAGGGAGTCCCGGCGCGAGGAGGGGAGGGAGGCGAAGGAGGTGAAGAGGGAGGAGGTCGAGGCGGCGGAGGGACCGCTGACGCCGTCAAGTTGGACGGCGGTTTGGGACGGCGGGGATGGGAGCGGGATATTTGAGGTGCCGCCGTTATCTCCTTATGCGAATTTGGGTTATTCGAGGCTGACGGTGGTATGAGGATTTATTAGTGTGTTTTGTTTTGTGGTGGGGGGTTTTTTGATTTTTCACGGAAATATATGCACCTGACTGCGAAAAGATAAAAGGTCTGGGGTGAATTTAGGAATTCAAGAAAGGTTTCGGGGAGGAGAAGAGGATGAGCTAAGTGTTGGCTGCAAATATGCAGTGTGTAAATATGAAGGAAATAGTGGCGTTGTTTGATTTGTTTATTTCTTTTTTACCTTTCTATGAAGTGAAATGAAACTCTCGTTATGAATCCCAAATTCAATGCTTGAATTTTGTTTTATGCTTCATGTCAAGTAAGTAAATGAAATTGAATTATAACATGGATAAATTGAAGAAAAATATATGAAAAAATTTTGGTTTTTAACATGGAAAATTGCATAAAGAACTATGAATCAAATTATCAAAAATAGAAAATTGCAGAAAAAAAAATCAGTATATTTTTTAGGAACTTTTTTTTGGTAGTTAGTCACAGTATTCGGAGCTATGCCCAACTAATCTTTTGATCGACCCGGTCGCACATCCAACAGTGGTGGGTGAGTCTCTCAACAAAAGCTTTATGCATCCATAAGGACTTGAACTCGAGACTTGATTAAGCAAAACCAAATTGATTATCATTTGAGCCAATGAATTTTAGGAACTTTTAATAGTATTGTGGGGCAAATTTGAATAATTGGTCATGTCTTGGCAGTTCGGGTTTTATTCCTTTAGACGCAATTTTTGGTCGTTACGAACTTTTTTCACTTTTTTTATTGTTTTATTTTTTTTATTTATTTATTTTATTTTTTTATGGATGGTGTAGTTTAATCCTAAATATTCCAATAAAGAGAAAATAAATTAGATATAATGTGTAATTTTGTGGAAATATAGGATTTTTTCAAGTTAAGAGACTAAAAAAAAAAGGAACAAAATTCTTATGGGAAAAAAGGCTCACAATAATTAGACGGTCCACCAAATCATATTATATTAATAAAACTACATAGTTATACTTTAAAATGTAATGATTATGCTTATTAAAGTAAGATAATCTTGAAAACATATGTGAAGAGTGACCAAAAAATGATTAGAGGATCTTTTGTTTGAAAACAAATTTTAAATCACCTTTTGGATCCAAAAGTTCATTTGGATCAATTATTCACATTTGATGATAAATTATATATAAATGAATTTATGAATACATTAATTGTCAAAAGCTCCATTATATAGAAATACAGAACACTACAAGAAAATGATGAAATTTCAAAGAAAATTTATTATAATAGAATGATTCCAACGGCAATTCCAACGAATATTTCAAATCAATACTATTATTTTCGTTGGAATTTTTCAATAGATTCTAACGGAAATTTCAACAGAAATATTCCGTTGGAATGAGTTTTCAATTAGAATTTATGTTGGATTTTAATGATTCCAACGGTTGATTTTCCAACAGGGGTGGAAATAAAAAAATCCAACTGAAATTGCATATTCCAACGAAATTTTTACGGTAAAAAACCGTTGAAAATATAGTCGTTGGAATCACCAAATTTCATTTAAAATTCCAATGAAAAACACATACCAACAGAATATTTCCGTTGGAATTTTCGATGGAATCATTCCAACGGAAGCTATACTATTGGAATATCCGTTGGAATTTCTATTGAAATATATTACCATAAGATTTTTCGTTGGAATATAACAATTTTTTTTTTGTAGTGGAATACAAAACTCTATTTGATTTTATTATTAATATTTATTTGTTTTTACCTTTAGTAATCAAACTAATGATATCATCCAAAATTTTAATTGACCCAAGAATTGTATGAGCAGTAAAAAAAAAAAAATTACCAACTCTTGGAATTGAATTGATACTAAAAAGGTCCATCCCATCATATCAAATTCCTCGAGATGATCAAATGAAAATTTCCTTATGTTAAAGTCAACAAGAGGTATTTTTTTTGTCTGGTAGAAGACCAATATGTAGAATGTAGTGGAGTCAATAAGTCAATGTTCAGTGAGCTTTTTGTCAACGTTGCTACATCCCTTGTATATTAACTTCTGTGCGGAGTATTACGATCAGGGTTAGCGCAGTGACGCGTACCTTCGCTCGACGTGTACCATGTCCTGAGTTTGAGTTACTCGAGGAGAATTAGGGAACTAGTATTGATCCCCCTTAAAAAAAAGAACTTTTGTGCAGAGTATAAGTGGCAAACCCGCATAATTCGAGATCTTATGTGACAAAATTATATTTTTTGTTATTATACTTGAGTAAATCTTATGTGACAAAATTATATTTTTTTGTTATTATACTTGAGTAGACTATAGGGTTTCATCTCTAGCCTACCCCAATTTGTTTGGGACTAAAGGCTTTGTTGTTGTTGTTGTTGTTGTTGTTGTTGTTGTTGTTGTTGTTGTTGTTGTTGTTGTATTATACTTGAGTAGATTTTAATTTACTTTCAATTCGAAAATAATTAGGTCTGAGTTATCCATAAATATATTGATTATTTATGGTCATGTTACATGTATTAATTGCATTTTAATATTCTTTTTTATTATAACACTTGAATAGTAAATGTATTTTAAATGTTAATAACATTTGTATTTTTTATCAGTTTTACATATATAATATATCAAATTAATCATCTCTTTATGATCTTTGTATGTATAAAAAATAAGTTATATTTATCTTTATAATAAAAATAAAACTGTTTTTTAATATTAATTAGAAAATAAAATTATTTATCAATTAATATATTTATATTTCAAGTAGTTATATGATATAAGTTATAAAAATTACTACTCCATAACACGTGTAAATCGCACTAAGTAACAAGTGTTATTCTAAAATATATAATAATATATTTGCTGTAAGAAAGTAAATAAAATTTAAAACAAATTTTTCATTAATTTTAATAACAAGTGTTATTATAATAATATATATATATATTTGTTGTAATACACAAGTATTATACCGGTAAGATGTTTGTAGATGAAAAATAACAATGAATCTCGACTATCAATTAGATTTTGTGTTAGTACTATTAATGGGCTTCTAATTTTCATGGTCATGGTACCATGGTGCATCTCTTAATTAATTTTAGCAATTTTTAAAGTTCCTTCGTGCATATTCAGGTAACCCTCATTATGTTAAAAGGAAAATGATACAGTCTCGTTACTAAATTATTCCGTCGGGATTTATAACCGTTAGATCAACTATTACGAAGGTGGATACTTATCTAACGCTTACAAACCCATACGGAATGATTCCGTAACGGGTTTATATAACCTCCCTATATTAAATCTATATATATATAAAAAGAATTACCATTTTTTTTAAAAATAGTAAGTAGAAAATCTATCAACATTAATTGCATGCCATTTTTGGAAATATTTTAAATATTTTTAAACAACAAATTGACAATCATTAAATGTACCCTAAAATTATGGATTTTGAAAAAAAACAAAAAAAAAAAAAAAACAAACAAACAAACGTAATTATAGCTTCACAAATTTCACATATGTTTCCAAAATTAAGCATTGTGTTATTTGTCTTCTTCTTATTTTTTTTTTTACATGAGTAATTGAGAGAAATTAGGATGCATCTATAATTAATTTATAATCGACTATACCGCTCATAGTTTCAATAGATAAAAATACATAAAATTTACAAGTATAATTTTATAATTTTTTTAATATAATACAAAATTTACAAATTTTCTAATTTCTATCCCAATGTTTAATAACTAAGATTTATAAATATAATCATGTTTATGGCATACTAATTTATAATATTTACTTCATAATTTAAATTGAATATGATTTGTAATCAAAATAAAATGAAATAAATACACAATAAATTTACTGGAATTTTATTTAGTTATTGTAAAATTGTTGACGGCTTTGCATTTACATATGTGGATACACAATAATTGACAACTTTAATATTTTGTAAGCATTGTTTTTTTCCCTATTATTTTGAAAAAGTTATTGGGATCATATAGTGAAAATGGGCCACTATTTAGGTATATGTGAAAATAAATTTCGGCACAAAAATAAAGCTTTACAGTTTCTTTTATACTATTTTGTATATGCACGTGTTTTAATAGATTACCACAATGTGTAGATAATATATTTTGTTATGATCTTATCCCATATATTAAGGGATATTAAAATTAAAAAACTTAAAAATTTTACATATTTTATATGCGATTATTTATCCTATCCATTTTGAAACTTAAATTAATAGTTAAATATTGCATCCGGTTTTCATTGCAATTAGTTTTTTAATATAAAAGGAGAAGATATAAAGTTTGTTACTATGCCTGATTTTTTAACATGATCGATTTTTAATATTTAATTATATAAAATAAGAAATGTGATATAATCTAAAAATTGTTGTAATTAGTATAATAATATTTAATTTTGAAGTAGTTTAGTTATATAAAAAGACTCTAATACTATTTTTCCTAATTAAAAATATTCATTCAGTTTTATGTCAACAAAAATTTAAGAATTGTTAAATTTGAAATTAGAGTTGATTTACACTACAATTGGTATCTGAAAACAAAAAAAATGGAGTTTTAAAAACTGAAACAATATAAATCCCTTCATATAAGGGATTTTGTGTCTTTAAATTATAAAAAAAAAAAAATCTGAAAATCTGAAAACAAAAAAAAAAAAGTTTTAAAAGCTGAAACAAATCAACAATATATCTCGGTTTTAATGTTGTCCGTGATATCTTTTTTTTTTAAAAAAAAAAAGGAATTTTCCTTCAATGGTAAGTAATTAATGATAGAGAGAATTTGACAAATAGTTGACCTGTCATTTTTTATAAATGGTTATTATTATTCTATATGTATAGATTTTATTTAATTATTTTATTTATTTGTCTTATATTCCATAAATTCGGTTTAAGAAAAAACCATAACATATAAAAAACACTTTATTTATTTGTCTGATTCCATAATAACATCGATTTAGTCAAAACAAATCTCATAAAATCAGAGAAGTCAAAAATT